CAATACAAGTTTGGTAGACTTAATAACTGAACTAAAATTAAGGCAGTCCGTTTACAGCCCTTGCTTTCAATCCTCGCCTTAATAGCTGAATGTATTTTGTTTACTACTTTAAATCCCAGAGTGCATGCTGGGTTAGTTGCCACTCTGTTCTGAGAAGTGGGTCAGGGGGCTACTCCGCTTTCTAGAAGCGGAAAGTTGTCCGTTTTATGCACTTGACCGTGAGATGTTGAAGCAGCTTTCTTCAGGGTTGGTGCAAGAAATACACTTCCTCTAGATTCCGATTCTTAACGAGCGGCTACCCCCCGCCACAAATCTTCCTTCTCTAACAATGATGGGATCACTCTTTTCTCCTAACTGAAAAGCTCTGGCGTAGTTGAACAATAGTTAAATGAAGTCTGTTTTGGGCGCCCTCTTTAATTTTGACTGTTCTAAGCTCTCCAGGTCGGCATTTTCTTACAATTTTGACAGCAAGCCGATATCTGTCCGATCATAATTTCACTACTTAATCGAGGTTTGGATTCTGTACTACCAAGTGACTGAAATAATTAAGCAACTCTAATATCCAAAGGACTGGTATATTTTTGGAGCCTTTTAAATTATCACGATTGGTTCATCCGCTTCGATATTTTCTTACAGGACAGTCATACACTGACTCTCCAGTTTTACCCCCAACATGATCCTCACAGAACTGACTCACTGCTGTGACGTAATCTCTGGAATAGACATGGTAACTCTAGATTTATTGTTAATATACAGCAATTGTGGCACAAGGCCAAAAAGGGAATGGGTTGCGGCGTGTACCGATTCATTCGTTTACACCGTCCTGGGTAAACTACGTCCAACAGCAAGCCCTCTGATCAGGAAGTTTTGAGTAGCGTGTAACCACCTGAATTACTGGTGTTCCCAGGTCCACCCTTACCTGGGGTGGTAGCACCTGTTAGGTTCCCAGCTATTGGTAAATAGTTAACCTCTTTACACTATGAAAGTGTAAAAATAGGTTTTAATACCAGAAATCAGTCATCATTCACTCGGAGTCGATATAAAACCCCATGAAACAAATTCTTGAATACAAAATTATATAAAAAAAATAAAATTATCGATAAGCAATGGGTGGGAGGGAATGAACCCGAAATTGAACTAAAATATAACAAACACTAATTGTTAGTAGGACCCGTCCTTCTCAAGAGGCTCTCACTAAGGGAGGGGAAGATAAAATAAATACGGACATGGCGGGGGGGAGGGAGAAACTGGCTCAGTCGATGAAAAAAGGAGGCAAAAAACTGGGGAGGCTGGGAATCTCTGCTTGGATCATAACCAAAGAAGCTGGGAAGAACACTTACATTAACTAGATAGACAAGAGCTTATCCTAAACAGGGGAAGGGGCTCTACAGGAAAAACGCCCCGATGTGACATAGGGAGACTTAAAGAAAATCAAGGCTAGCTCAGTTCACGCGAATCTGGCTCGCCGCAGTCACCCACCTCAACAGATGGTAGATATTTATTCAACACCCCACGAGGTCAGGTTGTGACACCCGGGCAACCGTCGGTCGCGCTGACCTCGGTGCGAGCCCCGGTCCCTCCCTCTGGTGCAATGGGAGGGCGCGGCCTCGGGCAGCACCTCAACAGATGGTAACTCAATTGGCATTTGCTGTGACGTTCTGCTTTTATAGCAGTATCATTTACATACAATATTACTGACCATCTCCCATTAGCTAAAAACGCCCACCTTAGACTGGAAGGTACACAGTCGAATACAACTATAAACAATCGGTCGAAGATTTCAGTGGTTTAGAAATTGCATCTCAACTTATATTTGAAGTTGTAATCTAGCAAATGTACTGAAGATCTTTACTACGGCTCAATAGTACGAAGTCTATTACTTTTAATGTCTACTGTGTCTCGTAACACAACTTGTTGAACCTTATTAATATTAACTTTAAGTATTAATATTAATTTTAAGTATTACCACAATCTGATTGTCCTGGGTATGACGATACACTACATCCGGTAGCAAGACCTGATCAGGAGGTTTGAGGAGCGTAGAACCAGCTTTTACTTTTCTGGTGTTCCAGGTCCATCCTGACTCTGGGTGGTAGCACCTGTTATGTCCCATAGTTAAAAAAACAAACAAACTGGGGTCAGAACACATGAAAGGGTAAAAAATAGGTTTCAATACATTTTTGCGAAAGACATTTACCAGCAATACAAATCTTGTTGGCATTAAATAACCCATTGAGGTTGATATGCCGTAAAACAAACAAAGCTAAGCCCACAATCTGATAGTTGGCCAGATTAAATATAAAATTCTTTCAAACTGTGGCATAAAACTGTCTGCACTGACTAAATTGATATTTGTCAAACGCTGAATTCGAAATCTAGTTGTATTACGTAGACAACTACTTTCTAGTAGAGAAAGTAACACTATTCTTGTTTTCCTAGTATTAAACAACGCGTAAATTCACTGCAGGAAGACAATTTCACGCTTGGTTACTTAAGAAAAACTGAAAGCTGATTTCATTCAACCAAGGCAACTTTACATATATTAGTAGTTTTTATGTAGAAAACTTCCCCCATTGATTTTAAACATTAAGAGTTGCATTTTTATAAACCCGTTTTTATTAGTACAGAATTTTAATATTTAAAATTTAGCAATTCTCTTCGGGAGCTTATCAAACTAGCCGCTTAAGATGTACTTATTTGGTAACAATTCTCAATACCTAACACCTTCATACGGGTTGTCAGAACTTACCACAATGGTAAGACATTAGTAAAAATGAGGTTTTCATCTAGTAAATGTCTTGCCATTAAGTGGAAGGTATTTCTGCCACACCCTGTATAATGTAAGTTTCGTACAACTAAAACTTCAGGTATTACTAAACGCTGCATCATTTAAACTTTGTAACGAAAAGTATAGTCTAGACAAATATTTAGTATGGTCGTCCACTTTGTTAAATGTCTTGATATCCCAACACTTGCTGTTGGAACACATTTAAATCCTTTTTGCTGAATATTTGAAATTTACTTTTAAAATTCACAATTATTTAAGATTTAAATCTTACCTTCACTACGGCCAATCGAGCACTTAAGTTTTTACTACTTTAGACATCTGTATTGTCCTTTAATAATTATCGTGGATGCTACTTATTAACAAGGAAAATATCTACACCGTTCAAATTTTATTTTGGAATAACAAAATGTAATTAAGTATTAAATTTGTATTAATAATATTCTAGTGATAAACAGCACGTACATCAGTTAAAAATAAGTAGAAACCAGGAGTATAGATCGCATAGCAAAGTAGATTCATGACGCGTTGATAACTAGTACCTTATTGTAACCAATGGTGTATTGGTACTTGATAACTTTCCAATCCTGGTTCTTAGCCACTTAAGACTTTTACAATCGAATTTCTTGCACTCCAGCGAATGTCTTTATGCAAACAAACCACAATTCCATTGCAAATGTCAGTTTTTTTTTTCTCCGAAAGTATTTTACTTATCGAATCAAATGAATCGGTTAGAACCTATTCATAAACTCTCAAGAGATTTCAGCCAAGGAGGCAATTGTCGGTTTTGATAAACTTCCAGGTGTGTACATGGTCGTACCCAGTCATAAATTTATCAATTATGCTCCAGTTCCTCAAATTTTACAAACTTTTCCAGTTATTTCAATTGTCTTTCTCTCCACTAACTGTAAACTCGTTCTCTCCGCAGATAGTATCACAATATGCTATCCAAAGACTTGTTCAATTTTTTTTTCTCTGCAAACTCTAAATGCCCCTGCTGGTTTCAGGTGAAACCGCCAATACAAAGTCCTACCTTAAAAAGTAGGTTTACACCAACAGATCGTGTACGTAATCTGTAGTTGAAGGCTTACAATTACAAGATAAATTTAGTTGAAGCAGTAGAATTATTAAATTGATATTAAATAAGAGGTTAATATGGCACTAAAGAAAGCTATTTTTAGTTGTGCCTCCCATCTGCAGACGTAGACCGCGTAAGCGGCTCTCCAGTTATCCTAATATAACTGACCTTAGAGTCGATTTGCATAATCAACTTGTATGGCTAGAAGTTATAAAACGAAATGTCTGTGCATGTCATAAATAGGACACTGGTTCGAGATAAATACTACAAATGCATACTGTAATTTGTGGTCTTAGTTAAACTAGACTATTCATTGTTACTGCTAATACCTGATATCACTTGTGATAAAGCATCCTGGGTATGATGCTAAACTATATCTAACAGCAAGGCCTAGTGGTTTTGAGGAGGGTGGAACCACCTCTTAATTGCTGGTGTTTCCAGGTCCACCTAGACCCGAGGTGGTAGCACTTGTTAGGGTCCGCGCTATGGGTAAATAGTTAACCCCAAAATGTGGTCAAAACACTGAAAGTGTAAAAATAGGTTGTAATGCCAGAAATACTTTGTAGAATAAAAGTTTATTGCCAGCAATACATTTTTGAAAAAAAAGTTACCAGCAATAAGTCTTGTCAGCATTAAATAACTCATTGATGTTATGCCGTAAACGAAACTTGTGCTAAAATAGGAAGTCGTTCCTACTGATGAATGATTTCCTATTTTACTGATTTTGTATCATAAAATCAATCTTCTCACAGAAGTAGCGATTATTTTCCAGAAGTTAAATCTTCTTGAATGTTTAGTGACACATGTGGAATATTTAAGAATCAAACAAGACAAAGCTAGTTCGATTTGCTTTAATGTTGAATTCATTCGCTAATTTAAACCCTTTTCACAAAGTTCCGAAATTGCTTGAAATCCGTATTTAATACTTCAGCAGCGAAAATTGCAAATGACTCGAGTCTGAGAACTAGTTTCTTGTTCATACCCACTTCATCCTTTGCTTTTAATGAATCTAGTTCAATTCGTTGTATTTTGCAGTGTTAAACAAACCTCGTGACATCTTTGGTTGTAAAGCTGATTTGTTGCAGCACTGAGCAGTCTTCTCAAATTGATATCGTCAAGATCGAAAATCTTTATCGATTAGGATGTCGGTTGAATCATCTTTGGAAACAGATATTCTGCTGAATTGGCCTTCGCTTTAAATTCCATCCTCGACCGAACCAGTTCACTGCAAATTAAAATATTTTAATTAGTTTCATTTTTTTGTAAGTTTTCCAGATACCTAACACGGAAACTCCTTACATTTTCGTCTGTTAACGTAAAGTTTTGTCTCGGCAACAGCCACACTCTGCAACGGGCTTACTAAATAAAAGATGGTAGATGACCTGAAATATTACCACGCAAAGGTCTTGTCAAACGCCTTGGACTGATCCAAATTGATCAGTGCAGCTTTGTCTTCTACACTCTTAAGGATCGTGCGGTTCAGATGCAGGTTACTCGGAATTATTCACCCACTTCACAGCAAAAGGTATGCTCCGGCTCCCATAAAACCTCGGCATCAGATTGCAAATGCTCCGTCAGGATATTGGCCAAAATCTTGAACTGTTTAGTAGAGTTATGGGCCTGTAATCGTTTCCTTTTTTAACGGCGGAATACCCCCCGGAGATCTGGTCGGGGCCGGAACCGGTGGTTGAACAACATTGTCAAAATCGGAATGAACATGTGCGACAGCCTAAAGTAAAATTCGTACGTCAGACCAAATTCCGAAGACTTCCACGGCCGACCCCTTTTCAATGCCAAGTAAACCTCGCCCCATGATCTCACCCTCGCAGCCAGCCGCTTTAGCCGAGGAAAGTCTGCTAAATAACTAAATTCTTTGGAAGAGACCAGGCTCCTTGGTAAACCGGTTCTAGAAAAGCTGCTGAAGCTCTTCGCACATATCGTCGCTCACCCGCAGTGTACGCCCCTCCAGGGTGTCGACCTGCCGAATGTAACTATTGGAGTCTTGTGCCATATTCACGGCTTCGTTAGACATCTTGTTTAACCTGCATCTTAACTGCTTGACCTTGGTATCGATAGCTAAACAATCGCTCCAGGGTCTGCCTAGCTAGGCCTATCTTTAAGTGCCCTCACCTAAGCCGTATCTAGGGTGAATCGTTGGCTAAATTCGGTCGCAAATAACTTGATGTTATCAAGCGTCTCGAACGACTTATTCGTGATGGGTATGACGATAAACTGCACCTAGCAGTAAGGCCTCTGATCAGGAAGGTTTGAGGAACGTGGAACTACCTCTTAATTGTCCCCAGATCCACTCCTGACCCAGGGTAGTAGCATATGTTAGGGTCCCAGCTATGGGCAAATAGTCAACCCCAAAACTGGGGTAAAAACTCAGTCTAAAAATATTTTTATATTAAAACTACCAGCAATATATTTTTGACTCTCGACAAAAACCCTCTTTACAAAAATACGTCAATGAAACCGGATCTCAGCTTTCTTACAAATACATATTCTATTCATACGAACCTATCCTAAAAACATGTTGGCATTAAATAACCCATTGAGGTTGAACAGCCGTTCGTCTTTGGCTTCAGAATAAGGCGATTGCAACTTTGCAGAGCGGTAACCGCTCTCGCTCCAAATGAGACCACCTGTTTCATGTAGGTGTCTACCTGTAATGTCTGGGGACGGGAGACTGTTGTTTGAGGGCTTCAGATGACAGTTGGATACAATTCACCACTTTGGTCCTTACTTGGACTAGACGGGCGGTCGAAGAGGCCCTATCCGATCAATCAACTAGTCATACGAAGCACCTATAACGCTATCAATTTATGGAGTACTTCATAACCAGATTCAATACCCCAAATACACACCTGGTTATAGGCGCTAGAATGGGATGCCTGTGGGTCAATCGGTTCGAAAAGATCTAGACTTAGACATGGCTGAAAACATTAAGATTTGAGAAGTGCAAAAAAAAAAAAAAAATGCCTTAATGAGTGCTCGGTATCTCGAATAACTTGTCAAGGCTACCGGTTATCCCCCTTGACACCCATTCTGGGTATGACAAACTACATCCAGCAGCAAGGCCTCTGATCAGGAGGTTTTGAGGAGCGTGGAACCACCTGTTAATTGCTGGTGTTCCCAGGTCCACCCTGACCCGCGGTGGTAGCACATGTTAGGGTGCCAGCTATGGGCAAATAGTTAACCCCGAAGCTGGGATCAAAAGACCATGAAAGTGTAAAAATAGGTTTTAATACCGGAAATACTTTAAAAAAATTATTACCAGCAATACTGTTTTGAAAAAAAAAAACATTACTAGCAATAAATTTAAAAAAAAATATAACCAGAAATAGATTTCTGACAAAATATTACCAGCAATAAAAATTGTCGGCATTAAATAACCCATTGAGGTTGATATGCCGTAAACCAAACCAAATCTGCTAAAAAAAAAAAAACGTAACTCCTTTCATATTAAAAGTAGGTCTTTTTCTGGGATCACCGCCTCTACAAGATTTATTAGTTATGCTATGTACTCATCATTGAATGATTACTCATCTGAAGTAACTCCTCTGGCTACGCTAGATTTTTCCATCGAGAGGTCAAATTGTAGGTTATTTTCAAGGGTCACTTTTTCTTTACCTGTAGTCAATTTCACCATCTCCATCTCTGTCCATTTCATTTAGCAAAAATGTTTTTTGGGCATCGTCCAACCTTAGACCAATCGACTGAAAGAGAAAAATATAGTTAAAAGTAGCTACCGTCAAAGAATCGACAAAAAAAAACATAGGTTTTATGAAAACCTTCAAGAGGATTTTTTTAAGAACCTTCGAAATTATCTTAATACTTAGGTCGCTACATTTAAACTCTCCCATTTTATTAGTAAATATAGTTTTTACTTAACTATCACCTATCCGCTATAAATTAATGTAGAATTTTAAAATTTAAGACTTATCGTTTTTTGTTTTAGTTTTTTGGTAACTGGGTATCCGGTTTTAAATTCTCAACATTTCTGCTTATAACGAAACATGAAACTGCAAAAATTAATTTCTCAATTTCATAAAATTAAGTGGGAGTGGGTAACAGATAAAGAAAAGATTTTGTAAAGTTTCATTAAAATCAGACATTTTTTTTTTAATTTCCAAATGTTTTTCACTGTAAAAAAAAAAAAAAAAAAAAAATACAACTTTTGGTCTCCTTTAAGTATTTTGATAAAATTTAGTTTTCGGAATTTTTTTTATGTAGGTTTTTTTCTTTTTAAGTCCATCTTTGGCTGTGCCTAAATTCAATTAAAAGCATTAATTTGAAAACTGACTTAATTTCTTCGATGAATAGTTTTTGTACATGACTTTAATTTTAATTAGTATAATTTAACCATTTTAGTCTTAAAATTCACTATTGTAGCGGCTAAGTGATATTAAATAAGCACCATTTACTAATCATAAATGGAAAAATTAAGCGAACTTATGTATTCAAATAAAATTTACTCACTTTTTAAAAATACGGATGGCTTACGAACATAAGACCGGTAACTATAGTGAATTTAAAATTGGTAACTTTTTAACATTTCCTCAACGTCGTGGGTATGACAAACTACATCCGGCAGCAAGACCACTGATCGGGAGGTTTTGAGGAGCGTGGAATCACCTTAATTGCTGTTCCCAGGTCCAGTCTGACCCGGGGTGGTATCACCTATTTAGGGTCCCAGCTATGGGCAGATAGTTAACCCGGCAAACTGGGGTAAAAACACCAGGTTAGTATATAAAAAAAAATAGTAAAAATACCAGCAATACACTTAGCAATGCTGCCAAAAAAATTAAATTCCAGTAATAAATGACCCATGACGAGTTGATTTCCCACTAAACAAATTGATTTGATTTTCCTGATAATCGGTAAAATTAATTCCAATCTTGCTAAGATCAAATTTACTCTTAGCTCGAAATTAAAAACTAAAAACTTAAAGATTTTTCATTTTCAAAATGCATTTTAAACCTTGGGTATCTTTTTTTTTTTCTTTGTGTGGGGGAGGTACCTAGTTAGAAGCAACTAATTTGAAGTCTCTAACAAGTCCCTCCAGCGGAATTACTTATGTTACCTGTATAACACCTGCTGACAAGGTCATATCCTTAGTGACGGTCATCATTTAAAATAACGCCTTTTGGCTGCCGCCTACACCCGGTGGTGTAACCACGTTTTAGTGGGCCAGTCCCCAGGATCTTAGAACGATGTTTTAATCACTGGGCTAAATCTTCGCTGGTCAGTGCTAACGCTGGTCACTTCGATCCACACTAACATTGCCCACGTTGTGCTATTGATCTCGGAGCCATGGAAGATCGAATGTCGTCGTAATGGTAGCGCCGGTTCAAGCCGTGGCGAGTATTACATTAACCATTAATCTTCAGTTTTATTTTGTCGTGAATATATTTTAATCTTCAGTTGCTTTATATAGTTCATGATACAACAAAAATTAATCCTTCCTGCATTAATCTTTATCGTGACACTGGACCTTGTCTAAACTTCTGTTGGGGCTGGGCTCAAAGTTCTTGAAATCGGGAAATCTGGTGGCAGCTTTGCTTGTATGAACCTCGGCCCCAAAATGGCGTGTCTGAAGTGTTCTGGGGACTGTGATTCCCCAATTTTCATTAATTCCAATAAGTTTTATTTGTTCCCTGTTTCTGCTTTCTTAACTTTCCATATTTGGAGAATTATCCACCTTCTTTGGGAGTAGTCACAAGTATTGCCCCTCTCTTAACGTCAACTTTTTTCACTTCTCGCACCGCCACTTCACACATGCGGGGATAAATTCTGCCCCTTCCTCCTTCTCGTTATTCTAACTCTTCACAATTCTGAGTGTTGCCATAACTGTCTTTGTAACAAATCTAATTTTTAAATTGCATAGGTAAAATGGTGTAGTTTATTTTCATTATTTTCATTTCTCTTTTTTTTTTTTTTTTTTTTTTTTTTTTTAAATGTTATTAGGATCACTTGCAATTGGTCCACTAAAACGGAAATTATGACGGAAGGCGATAGAAAAGATTTCGTCGTTCAGGTCAAGATGGATGCCAAGGTCTCGCAGTCTTAACTGTAACTTCCCAGGTAATAGGATCCTTTGAAAGTGTAAAATTCCCCTGTCTTTGTTACTCTTAACATAATCTCACCATCCTGAGTATAACGATAAAGTACGTCCGATCAGGACATTTTGAGATTGCTGGTGTTCCCAGGTCCACCCTGACCCGGGGTGGTAGCATCGGTTAGGGTCCCAGCTATGGTAAATAGTTACCCCTCCCCAAACTGATTTCAAAACACTATGAAAGTGTAAAAAAAAAAAAAAAAAATTACCAGCAATACATTTTTGGAAAAAGATACAGCAATAAAAATTGTCGGCATTAAATAACCGCTTGAGGTTGATATGCCGTAAAATAAACCAAAGCAAACGATAATCATCAAATTCTTACCAGTTATTAAATCTTTAAAGTTTTTCTTCAACGTTCAGACTTACCTCTATACCTTTAATGAACTCTTCGTGCGTAACAGTCATACTACCATCTTCGTCAAATTTCCCGAAACAGTCAGCCAATCGAATGTTATTGTCATCCAGATATCGTACAAGGAGCGCCATTGGATGAATCATAGCCTTTGGTTTCTTTTTAGCTTCTTGGCTCCCGTGAATAACTCTGACGTCCGGCAGCTTTTCCTTCAGTTGCTCGAAGATTTCATTGAAATCTTCGTTGACGTGGCTGTGCTTCAAAAAAAAAAAAAACAAAAAAAAACGGACTGATCAACCAAGCGATATTAGTCCTGGGTATGACGATAAACTACATCCATCAGTAAGGCCTCTGGTCAGTAGGTTTTGAGGTGCGTGGAACCACTTACCGCATTTTCCGTCTTTGAAGACGTACCCTAATACTGGAAAGAAACTTCTAAGAAAGTCACTCGTACAACACCATTCACCATGCGTCCTTCATATACTGGCGCCACGTATTGCTTACATTAATCACTCGTCCAATTTTGTTTGTATGGCAATGGTATATTAGTCAACAGCAGAAAGGCTCCCGCCGCTTCTAGTAAACGGAACATGTTTAAGCTAGTGGCTCGGCTCCGGGAAGGTTTATAGTCTTGGAAATACTTGTAACAACTAAAAACTGAGGTTACATCATATAAAAGGCTGAATTAGATAGATATCTAATATATTGTAAAGACTCAACATAGAAATCCAGTCCCCATCAGCCAAACCAATTAATCGACAGTTCAAGCTTATTTGAGTCTGGGCGTTGCCTTACATTTGTCTTGGAAAACGCACAAGTATTGTTTAGGGTATTTTTTAGGAAAAAGTGCGTCTTGTAAACTGGAAAATACGGTAATTGTTGTTCCCAGATGCACTCTGACCCGGTGAGGTAGCACATGTTAGGGTCCCAACTATGAGCAAATAGTAAACCACTAAAGAAAAAAAAAAGACCCTAGGAAAGTATACATAACAAAAATACCAACATACGTTCAAAATACTTACATTTCGACAATAACCAATACAGATTGATATCCCGCTAAATAAAATCAACCAAGCAACACACATTACTTTGTTTCGGCAGTATTAGTTTCTTCCGTCCAACATCAAGGCCTCTGATCAGGTTTTGAGGAGCGTGAAATCAACCCTTAATGTAAGGGGTGGCAGCACCCGTTAGGGTCCCAGCTATTGGTAAATAGTTACTCCCCAAACTGGGGTCAAAACACTATGAAAGTGTAAAAATAGGTTTTAATACCAGCAATAAATGTTTTGAGGAAAATTATTACCAGCAATAAAAATCTTGCGGCATTAAATAAGCAATTGAGGTTGATATGCCGTAAAACAAACCAAAATCTTTAGTTAAATTGTTAAAATATATTTAGATTTCGGTATTAAATAACCCAGAGATTGTATATTTCAAGAAAACTAAATCCTTTAAAACTTACCTGAAAATCCAATTTTTCTATGGCAGGACTTTGGTTTCTTAACACAGCTGCACAAATCGCGTAGCAACCAGCACTCTCCATTGGGTTACGAACCATCTTAAAAGAAATTTTCTTGATAAAATGATTAATGCTACACTGTTAAAATTTCCCTCCGTTCAATAAAGTATCAATAATGAAAAGACTATACAATCTATCGAGACCCCCCGTTGAAACGTCTATTTTTTCCTAATTTAGGCCTTCAGTTTTACAACTGAAATCTGACTCAAATTATATGTAGTGGGTCCCGATAAAGAATAAACGCAAACGGAAATTAAAATAAAGCATTTGCTTTCCTTTAAAAAAAATTCTTCCTCTCTAAAACTCTAAGTAATGAGAATGCAACCTTTAAATAAAAAGCAAGAAAAACTGAACTCGACCGAAAAACTTTACTGGAACATGATCTATCCATTGTGACTAAAATCTACCGAAATAAGAGGCTCCACGCATAACATCTATATGGGAAAAGGAACGCCATAAAATATGCATTTGGCCAACCAAAAGACTTGATGTTAGTCGAAACCAAGCTCCGCGCCAGTTGTTGGGAGCCTTGTCAAAATAGATATAGGCAGAAGAGAAGGGACCACTAAAGAAACCAGCCATCCGTGAAGTTAAGCGGTCATCTGCTTAAGACGTTTTTCCGCCCTTAGAGACGATTGATGCCGCACTTATATCTAAGATGACAACTTCTAAAGTCTGACTTTTAAACGATCAACTACAGATCCTAAATGGACCTTCTCCCGACTGCTACCAAGATCTGACTTATAAATGAATTTTTGTTATCCCGAATTACAAAGGACTCGCTCCAGTCAAAATATTTTTAGACCTTCGATTAGTTCCTTTTAGTTCCGATAAATAATACTGTCTCTCCGGCAAATATCCACATATGAGAACTACTCTTGCAAAGCATTTCGTTTTAAGGTATGAAAGTTAAACAAATCCATGACTGTCTTCAGAAATATCCTGACTTACTTGGCATCAACCATCTCTTTGCTTTACAAGATTCAAATATTGAATTACCAAGACTTCCTAAGAGAAAAGTAGTTTCACACAATTTCCTCAGTTCTTTGCATTTAAATTGAAAGTAAAATAACCAGGTTAATCAGTGTTCAACTGCAATTCAAGTCGCAGGATCATTTCAGTTTTAACCTTGTCTAGTAACATTATCCATGATTAGGGATGGAATCTTCTAGTCTCTCTCGCTATGAAAGAAATTGCCGAATCTCTCCATGCAGCAACGATGAGTTTAATTTTTTCCTCAAGTGGCGCCATTTCTCATCTGCGATTCTAATACTTGTGAGCCATTTCGAAAATGTTAAATTCAAAAACTTGGGATAACGTATTCTTACCTTGAGTTCTTTCAAAGTTTCGTTGCAAGATAAGCCAAGTCCAATAAGTACCGAACACTCTGGATTCACTCGGCAATTACTGGAAACAAATGTTCAAACGTTTATTGGTTAAAATACTTAAGATTTTAAAAAAAAATTGATTCTCTTGCGCTCAGGTTTTAAAGATTGACAAAACGAATGTATTTGGGTCACTCACATCGGAATGAAAACTCTTGTCAATTCGGAATTGACCAACGATATGTTTCTATCAAATATAAAACACATGACATACAGTGTCAAAAATAGTTACGACTGATCTCATTTCTTGTGACGATAAACAATGTTTTGAATCCTCGTCTGATTTTTTTTTTTTTTTTTTTTTTTTTTAAAGTTAAAAAAATGCACCTAAATGATTATTAATCATGAAATGTTATCTTGAATTATAAAGTTTGAGTTGATATTTGCTGCTAAACAACCAACTCAATCGTCATTGGTTGCCATCCTAGGTAAGACGATAAACTACGTCCAACAGCAAGGGCACTGATCAGGAGGTTTTGATGAACGTGGAACCACCTCTTAATTGCTGGTGTTCCCGGGACGTTGCTGCCAACAATATCCACAGCGGCTGAGTATTTTTCTTATATCACCCCATGCAAGAAAGTGAAGCCATTAAGACGCAAGGGGTTACTGAGTGAAAGAAAAAAAACATTAGGGACAGACAATCAAGAGGGTAGATAATGATTGATTTTGCATTCAAATTTTTGAAGGTCAAACTTGGCTGGAAAGTATGGGGCCCGGAAGAGTTCCGCAAACGAGAAAAACTATTATGATTACAACTAACCAATTCAATTGTGTATCGTCGGCTAGGGCCTCAGAATACGCCGACTGCACTTCTGCAGAGGGATAATACCCGTCCCCCACCCCACCGCCATGAGGCTACTTATTTGCCGTGGGTGGTAACACGTAATATCTGGGGACGGGATCCTGGTAGCTGAGGACTTCAGGAGTCAGGGCTAGATAATTCTGATTCCCAACACATCACTTTGGTCCATATTTGGACTAGAGGGGCGGTCAGAGGCCCGATTCAGTCAATCGGCTGGTCATGCCAAGCCCTAGGGTTTACAACTATATAAATTTATGGAGTCTTTCATAACTAAATAAAATACCCACCCAATATACACCTGGATAAAATATCATCTCTCCAATTTATAAGCGTTAAAAGGCGATAGCTGAAGATAAGTCGGATCGAAGAGATTTATACCATTTCAAGGTTCCGTCCTGGTATGTTTACAACCATGTATAAGTTTGTAATAGACTATATAGTGTTAAAACCTGAGATTAAACTACATCCGCGTCCTGGGTAAGACGATAAACTACGTCTAACAGCAAGCCCTCTTATCAGGAGTTTTTGAGGAGAGTGTAACACTGTGACTCGGGGTGGTAGAACCTATTAGGGTCCTAGCTATGGGCAAATAGTTAACCCCGAAACTGGGGTCAAAACACTATGAAAGTGTAAAAATAGGTTTTAATACCAGAAATAATTTGTAAAAAAAAAAAAAATTTACCAGCAATACGTTTTTTTTTTTTTTTTTTTTTTTTTTTTTTTTGATACAACTTCCAGCGCTTAATCTTTCACTATACCTATCTTATTGCAAGCTCTGTTTTGATATAGGCATTCAATATTCGTGCTGCTTTTTCTTAGTTTCGAGATTTGCCCTGTTGTCTCCCAAATCATTCCATTTGAAATCACTTTAACTCTGTATACAATCTATATAGATAGACATAGCTGTAAACATACTAGTTTGTACACTTAATATTTGGGAAGTCCAATAAATGGTTTAACAGGTGCTCAGTCTCTCTCGAATACGAGTATACTGGTTTGTGTAGCCCTGACCTGTCAAGGCAACTGGGTTTCCCCTTTGACACGTTCCTATGTCAGGCTCCGAGGTGTATGGGCAGTGAATTTTAATACAACAAAATTATGAATAATCAAAATAAAAAGCCCAAGAGATGTCTTTGAGACTGATTCTGAAAAAGAAATTAATACGGAATTTCCAAGACCTGTGCTTCACGTCCCTAGAAGAAACTCTGCCCCTTTATTGACTGAAAGGGTACTATCCAGTAGGATCAATCCTAAAACAAATTTGAGAAATGGCAATTCGCTGGTTGAGGTTGAACATAGGAAACATGCAGAAAATTAATAAACATTGAAGACCTTTCATAATATCGGAATTAAAACCTTTTCTCATGCAAGACTGGATACTTCTGTGGGAGTCATTAGAAGTAGAGATATCTAACCACACCTGAGGAAATTACATCTGCCTCTTAGAAAACCAGGGGTTCAGGGATTACCATAGAATCTCAAAAGGAGAAACAATTATAACTGACACGTATATCCTTACTTTTGGCACACATTGGGCCAATGGAACTATATATCGCTGCTCCACTCGGGTGCTTTAGGTGCCAAACATTTGGACATCATAGATAGCTGCAGGAATCGCCCAACACGTGGAAAATGTAGACAAAGGAATTCAGACCATATCGAAGAAGAATGCTACGATGAAATAAGATGTACTAACTGCTAGGAAAGCTATCCAGCCTACTCAAGAACATACTTGTCCTGGGTAAGACGATAAACTACGTCCAACAGCAAGGCCTCTGATCGGGAGGTTTTGAGGAGCGTGGAACCCCCTCTTAATTGCTGGTGTTCCTAGGTCCACCCTTACCCGGGGTGTTAGCACCTGTTAGAGCCCCAACTATGAGCAAATAGTTATCCCCGAAACTGGGGTAAAAACTATTACCAGCAATAAATTTTTGGAAAAAAAATATTACCGGCTAAACATCAGTGTAGATTTTGATCTAGTGCGAACAAAATATTACCAAGTGAGTAATTTAAAAGCTTTTTACGATAAAACCATCCAAGATTGTAAATTTTCTAAAAGATGGATTGTACTTAAAAATGAGTAATTGAGAAATGGTTCAAATATGTATACATACACAACTTTTTTTTTTTTTTTTTTTTTAACTATCGCTATGAATCTATTTAAAAAATGATCCACTGAGGTTGATATACCATAAAACAAAACAACCAACCAATTCAAGAACATGCGCTTTCTAGAAAAAGGAAAAATTGTCGAAGTAAAATATAAAAGAAACATCTCATTTTCAGAAGCAAGGCAAGTAGTAGGTTACATGATAGGCCCCTCCTAAACAAAGGAAAATAAAACTAGAAATAACACCGGTCAGCCTGACAAATACAAAACCTTCATTGAGAAACTAGTACATTTCGGACCAAATGATTCGTCCAAATTTCAAACTTACCTAAAAAAAAAAAAAGGTCTATATTCTAAGGAAATGTTACAGGCTGAACAGCAAAAGGACAATGAAAGAATTGAAATAAAGAAACAAATAGCAAAACAACAGCTCAAACACAAACCACTCATACCAAATCTCCTAAACAAAGGTCACAGCGATCTCCTATCCGTCCACCAAAAGCCAGGATAGACATTCTGAAAAGCTTATCTCCCAAAACTGAATCGGCTAAATAAAAGCTGAAAATCCCCAACGACTAGATTTCTAAGCAAATCCAATTTGACCAACTAGAAAAGATGGAGGTAGAAAGCCAGAACGCTCAAACATCTAAAACCTACAAAATAAAATCAAAATCACATCAGCTAAAGACCGAAAACGTTTAAACACACATGCATAAGATAATTCAATGCAACTGCCGTGAAATAAAGGCAACTATAAATGAACTGCTTCTGTTAATAACACGCCTGTCACTGGTAGTTATTTGCCTTCAGGAAGCATTCCTTAAGGTGACAAAATAAATATAAAAACACCAGCAATGCAACCAAACACATGACACTGGGATTCATGAATCTGGTGGTACATCTATCCTAGTTAGGAATGATGAACCCCAAAGTAAAATAAATTTGATAACTACTCTATAGGCGACTGCTTTTAAAGTGACCCTACATATGCCAATAAACTCGGTATATATCCCACCTAATGAACAAGTACATGAATCCGAAATTTATGAAATAAGGCATCTCGCTGCAACCTTTTATTATACTAGGGGACTTTAACTGTCACAGCACTATATGGGGTTGTAAAGACACTTGCCAATTGTTCTGTAAAATTCAAAACAATGTAAATTCTCACCGTTGGAAAGTAGGCGGTGCGAACTGAGACTAATTTAAAAACTAATGTTCTGATAAACTAGCTGAAGGTAAATGCATCAAGGGCTTAGAACAGTGTACGGAAATTCTTATCGATTGCAAAGTAACGTATTCCAGAAAGAAACCGTTACAGACCTTGCTTCAATGATGAGTGCAAGAAAGCTATCAGGCTCAAAAGAGCTTTGAGAGATTTTCAATAAACAACATTCATCTTCTAATTTGTTACAATTTAAGCCACTTCGAGCAGAAGCGCGGAAAATAATGAAAAACAAGCAAAAAAGAATTTTGGAAAAATTACGTCAGCAGACATTTTTCTACCATAAAAACAACCGTCCTGGGTAAGACGATAAACTACATCCGCTGATCAGGTGGTTTTGAGGAGCGTGGAACCAACTCTTAATTACTGGTGTTCCCAGGTCGACTCTGACCCGGGATGGTTGCACCTGTTAGGGTCCCAGTTATGGGCAAATAGTTAACCCACAGACTGGGGTCAAAACACTATGAAAGTGTAAAAATAGTTTTTCACACCAGCAATACATTTTTGGAAAAAAATATTACCAGCAATAAAAATCTTGTCGGAATTAAATGACCCATTGACGTTGATATGCCGTAAATCAAAACAAACCAAACCATATTCCGTCAATGTAAATTGTTTCGAAAAATTCAATTCAATTTAGAGTTAGACATTAGCATGAAAGGAAAATTTTTGGTAAAAGTTACTTCGACCCTTAATTCGGATTTATCTTGAAGCATAATCCATTGTCTTAATCTTTTAAACGTTCTTCGAACTATGACTTTCCTTCCAAACAATGCGATCAACGATAAGCATGGGATTAAATCGAAAATTACTTACCTGATATTCAAATGCTCGAGGGTATTATTAAATTTGAGAGCTTCTCCAAGAGCTTTGGCAACTCCTCTGTCAATTCCGTTCCAAGAAAGATCAAGATGCTTCAACGCACAATTGCCCTAAATTTTAATGGCAAAATAATTCTGATTAAATACAAAAACAGGAGTGAATGGAAACCCTTTTAATTTATATACAATATCTTATTGATATAAAATATTCTAAACGAGAAATTCCCTAAAGCAAAAAAGAATCAGATTTTGGGTAAATTACTTTCGAAACTTTTTCTTTAAATCGATATGACACCAAATATTAATTCGGTTTTTGAGTCCTGGATAAACTACATCCGACAGTAAGACCTCTGATTAGACAGAGCGGAAATCCTAGTCGTGGAACACTATAAGTTCCTAGGCATTATTTTTGACAAAAGATAAACATTCATTCCTCATCTAAAATATTTTAAAATAAAATGCAGTTCTCAAAATTCTGCGTGTAGTGGCCATACTGAATGGGAATCAGATCGACAAACATTAAATTATACAGATGACTAATTCGCTCAAAACTGGATTACGCTAGTTTTATATATGGAAAGGCCAGAAAATCATACCTAAAAATACTCCACGGAAATTATCATCAAGGCCTCAGACTAGTACTTGTTTTTAGGACATCCCCAGTGGAGATCTTATACGCAGAACCTAATGAAACTCCTCCACATTTAATATGCATTAAACTGGCGCTACAGTACTGTCAAAATAAAATAATTCCCAACTAACCCAGCTTACATCAGTACCTTTAAACCTGATTACTGTGATAAGACAATACAATAAAATCATTTGGACTCCGGATGAAATCCTTTGCTGAAGACTTAGGGAACTTACTCTCAAAATTAAAAAAAAAAACGACTGCAGCCAGTATTCCACCATGGACAATCAAGCAACCCGAAGTCTTACTCGAATTAAATAAACTCCCTAAACAAAAAAAAAAAACAAACAAAAAAACGTTTCAGGCATATTGGAAAACTATCCTAGCCATATACTGCATCTATGCAGACGGGTCAAAGTGTGAGGACAAGGCAGAATGTGCAGCAGTGAGCCAAAATATTACTAAAAAAAAGAAAAGGCGCCTACCAAAGGAAAGCTCTATTTTCATTACGGAGGCTTATGCAATAGGGCTACCTCTTAATATAATCACACAGGACAAATAAAAAGTTAATATTTTCGGATTCACTATCTGTCCAACAACCCACTCATTATCAAACTATTAAAATGAACTCAACTTGCAAACAAAGACATCAAACTATGTTGGATTCCTACTCACATCGGAGTGGAAGTTAACAAAGACCTAGCAGTCAAATCAGATTTAGACATGGATATAGGAACAAAACCCCATACTCCAACTTGAGGAGTCCATTAATAAATATATTCAAAAGGAATAGCAACGGTGCAGGGGCGATAACCCACACAATAAGTACTTTGCAATTCAGTCCAAACTTGGAAAATGGGAGTCGACTTTCAGAAAATCTCGAAATGAAGAATACTGGCCCCTTACGCATTGGCCATACGAGAATAACCCTCTTGTACTTACTGAACAACGAAGATCAACCAGTATGCCAAGCATAGGAAACCGCATACACTATTAAACATATATTAAGCGAGTGTTCAGACTTTGCTGTCTCGAGACAAAAAATGCTATAATTTAAACATGTACGAGATCTTCGAGAAAGCCGAAGTGGATGACATAATTTCTTAAAACAGTGGGCCTATCCCAACAATATAAACCAAAGGATAATGCCAATAAAATCAATTTCTTTCCGTCTTGGGTATGACGTTAAACTGCATACAACAGCAAGGCCTCTGATCAGGAGGTTTTGAGGAGCGTGGAACCACCTCTTAATTGCTGGTGTTCCCAGGTCCACCTCGACCCGGGGTGGTAGCACCTGTTAGGGTGCCGGCTATGGGCAAATAGTGAACTCCTAGTTTTTCCAGATCTTACCCACGTCCTGGGTATGGTGATAAACTACATCCAACAGCAAGGCCTCAGATAATATTTTCGGAAAAATGTTGCCAGCTATACGTTTTTTATTCCATACAAAATAGGCATTTAAAATTCATATAAACTGGATTTGACATTAAATAACCCACAGTGGTTGATATGCCATAAAACCCAAACAAACATCATTTTCTTTACAAACTGTATATATGAAAAGAATAAGTCAATGAAACCAGACTCTCGACAAAAACCTTTTCTACAGAAATACGTCAATTAAACCTGATCTATAAACAGAAAACCCCAAACTAGAAGTGATTATGTCTCGGCTTCATATTGGATATATTACCATAATCCATTCATATATCCTAATAAGGGAAGATCTCCAGTAGTTGTGGCATACCGAGAGTTGTTTGCTATAGAACACATACTGACAAGATGCAGTGGTTTTGGTTCAGTGTAAATCTCAAGAGATTTCTTCTTTCAACTTTACTAGCAATTCACCATAAAACACACAAACGTACAGCACACTTACTATTAAAAAAAAAAGACTGTTTAAATACAAGGTTTTATTTAGGAAGAAACATTAAATTTCGGCATTAAATGACTCGATGGGTTGATAATCCGTAAAACAAACCAAAAAACCTCTGTATTGCTAATTTATACTAAATCTGCATATCTGGTCCATTTTCGTGACGTCTATTATAGAACGGAAAGTTTCTTAAACTCACCTTGATTCCATTTGCCAAGGCTTCAAAGCCATTTGCTCTTAGATTATTCCAACTTAGATTTAGATGATTGATGGTACTATTTTCTGATAATGCTGGACCCAACGCCTTTCCTGATCGACTTTCTAACTTGTTGTGGCTCAAGTCTAAAAATTCCAGTTTTTTTGTATTCTGCAAAAGAAAGTCTTTCAAAAGCATTTGTATTGTTGAATGAAAGCATTTTTTTTTTTTTTTTTTTTTTTTTTTTTTTTTTTTTAAATCACGATTCATACTCCGGCTGGAACAAAATGTATAGGAAAATCTCACTTAGGATCGGTCATTAGACACTCTGTCGGACAGGTAAAATGGGTAGCCTTTCATACGTGCGCATTTGTATGAACGCTTTTCAGCTGCATATCTTCCACGCTTAACCTCAAACTGTCCACACAAACATCTATATGCACAAAAGCTGAGTATCTACCATATATATACAACTGTGAAGGCAGAATAACATTACCTCAAAGCTCTAAAAGTTAAATTTCGGCATTAAATGACCCATGAAGAAGCTGATATGCCGCTAAACAAACTAATCAATCGTACCAGAGGACATATAATATTAAAACACGCACCAAAAAAAAATAAATAAATAAAAAAAAAAAAAAAAAAAAAAAAAATACCTGAAGCGGCCCTAAAAGGAGTACATTTGAGAAATGTTAAGACTCTTAACTAATAACGTGAGATTCGTGACCCTGTCATTTGAATAATCGCATCGTACAAATCTCCCAAACACACATCCAATTTGAGAAATCAGATTCTAGTTTTGCTGGACGCTCGTGCATCTTTTTTTAGCAGGAGCTTCCAGATATATGGGATAGCGATATATAAATTTTTATATCTGGAACAATTTTGGAGGAAAGATGTACAACGCGTTTCGTCCTTTAGGACTTCATCGGAAAACATGAGAGAGCCACACTTTCAGTGAACTGGACGTTTCATGTACCTACAAACTATCCAGGACATCTCTTCAGTCGGTTATGTGCCATACGTGATACACACTTAGGCGATCATGTATCTTTCGACACATGACTGACGAGGCAGATTTTTTCCCTCAGTAGGTTGCCATTTCATTCTGCGGTAGACCCTGGGTGGCAGCACCTGTTAGGGTTCCAGCTATGGGCAAATAGTTAACACCAAAACTTTTCAAAATAATATGAAAGTGTAAAAATAGGTTTTAATACCAGAAATACTTTGTAAAAAAAAAAAAAAATTACCATCAATAAAAATCTTGTCGGCATGAAATTGAGGTGTTATGTCGTAAAACAAAACCCAACTCTGCGGTAGACCAGTTACCATCCAAGGCTATAGAACTTTGTCTGTCCTGCTACTTACCCATTACTGGGTGGGGAGGGGAAGACGATTCATACCTTTCTCAAGGGTATTAGCAGGTAATGGATTTGACTGGAATTCGAACTCGGCTCACTAGAACTTTTTCGATGTATACAGAAAAAAATAATGCTTATTTAAAATTTAAGACCCTTTCTCTTCAACTTTATAAGAAATTCCGTCCTGGGTATGACGATAAACTACATCCGACAGCAAGGCCTCTCCTCGGGAGGTTTTCAGAACCTGTTAGTTGCTGGTGTTCCCAGGTCCACCCTGACCCGGGGTGGTAGCACCTGTTAGGGTTCCAGCTATAGCCAAATAGTTAAAACATTATGAAACTAGATTTTTATAGTAAAAATACTAGCAATACATTTTTGAAAAGGAATAATTACCAGCAATACATTTGACTCTTACAAAAATACGTCAATGAAACCTGATCTAGAAACTGATTTCTGACAAAGAATAAATATTCTATTCATACAAACCTATCCTAATGCCGTAAAACAAAATAAAATTTTACAAAAAATTCAAACAGAAAATATTTAAAACTAAATTAAGAATAAGTTTGTTTATATATATATATATATATATATATATATATAATCAATAAATATCAATGCCAGAACTTTTTGTTCTTCTAATCTCAAACTTCAGACCAATATTTATTACTAATCTATCTGTACATGGCTTAAAAATTAGCAAATCTCCACTGCCATAAAATCGGGTGTAGTCTAAAAAATATGGCGTCGGTGTTTTCAGTCTAAGTAAAAATATCATCCCCAATGTTTACTGTTAAAATGCAAAATCTACCTGCCATTTTCGTTTTCTATATATGGCTACGTGAATATCTTGGTGAATGTAGGTTTACAAATTATTTCGATTCTCAATTATTTGCTTTTATATAAGTCTGTTGATTATTGCTGGAGTAACACTTTCTTAGACGGGAAACATTTTGTTGGCAATATTTAGTGCTTCATTAGTTCTGGGTATGACTATAAACTACATCCGGTAGCGAGATTGGAGGTTTTGACGTGTGTGGTACCACCTCTTAATTGCTGCTGTTCCCAGGTCTACCCTAACCAGGTGTTGTAACACTTGTCAGGGTCCCAGCTATGGGCAAATAGGGAATCACCAAAGAAAACGCTATGAAAGTCTAAAAATATATTTTTATAGTAAAAATACCAGCAATACATGTTAAAAAAATTAGCAACATTACATTTTCAAAGCAACATGACCAGTAATACATTTTATCTGTAGGCACAGGAAGACAATTGCGTTCAAAATATCTTTAGCTGAAGCCATAAAATTGTTCAAATTATATTTCGGCATTGAATGACCCATAAGTGTTGATATGTCACGAAACAAAATCAACCAACCAACATAAAAGAACTTTCATGATATTAATCCATATATACCACAACTTCAAAAATCAATCCTTATCCCAAAATATAACAAACAAAACAAGATAAAAACATATCACTGCTTCTAGTAATGTCTATACAGAAAAGCTGAGTCTCCTCTACCATGTATTCAGTTGTGAAAGTAGAATAACATTTTATTTCAAAGCTCCCAAGAAAAGTAACTTTTTGCAATAAGTCCAACTTACCGTTATTAACTTTGCCAGAACAGGAGCAGAATAATCATTGAAATCGTTATCTGAAAGGAAAAAAAATCTATTTGACTACTCGGCGAATAAGAAAGGCGAACATCTTTGAGTCATGACTGTGAATCCTATATTCCAAAATGAATCTCTTAAAAAGTCGTTAATGCTTACTTCACAGCTCGTATTTTACCAGCAGCCCCCCCTCCTCAGAAGATAATTGATTAGTCTTGTCTGCAGATTATGTGCCGTAATCAAACCCTCCTCTTTCGTCTTTTCACTGAATTTGGTTACAAGTTTAAGAGGAATCTGTCTTTGACAAATTCCCTGATTAGCAACGGCGGTTACATGAAAAGCAGTATTTAGAGGAAGATATTTAAACAAAATCAAACGGATCAATCACAAGTAGCATGAAGTGTCTATCTTATGCCCAAGTATGCTGATCAAAGCCGGATGGTTTAGTTCACAAATTTTCGATTTAAATCGCATTATTCTAAATATTGGGTTTGATTTCTATTTAAATGTTTTACCAAATTTTGAAGGAAGAGAACGGCATGGATGTAGCCAAGAATTAATATTCCCGAAACAAATTTAACTTAAGGTAAATTCTTCTCCAAGGTCGCTTGAAAAATGTCAAGTACCTCAATTTGTACATTTGCTCAGATGTAAAATAAGGATAATCGATGAAAGCAGAATGGTTAGAAAACTTAAATTCTTGGGTTGAATTATGGTTACTGTCTGTATATCAACTTTATTTAAAAAAAATAAATAATCGGATCTTTTCAGTTAATTCACCCCAAATAATGTCTGTCCTGGGTAAGACGATAAACTACGTCCAACAGCAAGGCCTCGGATCAGGAGGTTTTGAGCAGCGTGGAACAACCTCTTAATTGCTGGTGTTCTCAGGTTGGCCCTGACCCGGGTTGGCAGCACCTGTTAGGGTCCCAGCTATGGGCAAATAGTTAACCCCCAAATTGGGGTCAAAACACTACGAAAGTGTAAAAATAGGTTTTAATACCAGAAATACTTCGTAAAAAATATTATTACCAGCAATACATTTTTGAAGAAAAAATATTACCAGCAATAAAAATTGTCGTCATTAAATAACCCATTGTGGTTGATATGCCGTAAAACCATTTAGGAGAAATCGCGAAGGTCAACCCAAACGGAATACAGTGGAAGGGCCTCGCTCTAGAAGAATTCGGTGTGAATTTTAGTAAATATTACTTTTTATTTTCGGGTGAAATAACAAAAGTTCCAAATAAACAACTAAATTTTATTCAATTATATATTCACTAGTGTTTGCTATGACACTTGTTCAGGCTGCTTTTGAATAAAATTCCACGGGCTTCTATGTAAAAAGGCTTTCGACACATCCTTGAATCTTATTTTCACTAGAGGAAGTTTTCCATATTAAAGCGTTTCACAGAATAGGTAAAAATCGGTTGACACATGTTCACTTAGCTGAATATGGCGTGTGGGTGACCTGAATACACCATCCGAGTTCCAGATTTTTCTTGCTGTATGCGGCATTTCGTTTTCATGGAAGTGAGAAACACATTTTTCCTATTGACGAGTGGAGAGCGTTTTTCGACCAAACTTTTATGGACATATTACAGCTGCTTGACGTATAAATGTGTATTTAATATTTCATTGTGTTTTAAGAACGCTAAATAATACCCGAAAGATGTAGTGAAAACCGAAAGCCCGAATAAACTTAGATAAACTTTATTCCACTTTATCAATATTTATTTCTGTAAAAAAAAAAAAAAAAAATTACAGAAAATGTGACACAAGACCTAAAAAAAGGGATGGGAGAAAATCATCATTTGTCTTAATTTTAAAACTTAGCTAGCAATAACCACTGACCCAATCATACAAAACAATATTCTTACCACCAAAACAACACATTCATACTTACCTTACTACATCCACCAAAATACCTCATTGTCTCAATGAAAATCTTAAATAGTCTCCATATGTACAAATAGTTGTCTGTGGGGGGAGGGGAAGAAAAAACAAGTTAAATCCCCAATGATTATATACAGTATGGTTATAAACTATTTACATGTAACTAAACAAAATCATGTTAGTAATAACCCCCCCAACCTTAAGCGTCCTGGGTATGACGATAAACAGCAAGGCCTCTGATAGTATGTTTTGCCAGCTGAACGTTTTTTGAGAAAAAAAAATATTAACAGAAATGGATTTTTGACAAAACAAAAATATTACCAGACAAAAAAGTTGTCGGCATTAAATGACCCATTGAGGTTTATATGCCGTAAACCACACAACAAACCTTAAATGTGGCAGAAATATCAGTTAAATGGACAAAATCGATGCGGGACTATAAAAGTATAAAAACATTAATTCATGCCAAACACTCACACAGAAACGCACTCATTCTTATACAATACGAAAAAAAACACACGCGAAACGAAAGGTGCCCCGCATCCACCAGAGAACTGACATCACTGACCACCTAAAGAGGGAGGGGATGGGGAGTTAAACTAAAAGAAAATAGGGACAAAAATAAAAGGGGCCAATGAGTAAACACACCCAAGCTAAGTTTAATTGAAAAAAAAAAAAAAAAACTAAATCATAAAAACCAAAACCTAAATTATCCTAATTTCAAGGATGGGTTGCCCAAGTTCAACCCAGGAAAACAATATTCCGATGCCTAATCGGCATGAAAATGCTACTCCAGGTCAGCCCCTTTTACTTGGCACTAACACGCAAGATTCACCCACCTTTTTGACAAAATCTGATGAGGTGAGCTGCCTTTCCTTCCTAATCTTGACTTTAAGCTGATGCTTAAAGAACAAGATCAGTTAGGAAGAAGTGAACTTCTCGCTCTGATAGAATTCCTTCTGAAGCGTCGTACAAATCACGACTCTCATAACACCTAGTAAGCAAAAGAACACATTCTTCAGCCTTCGTTATCTGCGGCACCACATTGCTACAAACAGAACTGGCCTCAAGGACAAAGAACTTTCCCTGCAGCATGCGGACCATGAGGATTTCAACAAACTTGCGCAACGGCGCTATCGCCCTGCAATGAAAGAAGGCGTGACCAATGGTCTCTACTTCCCCACTACAGCGTCGGTTGTTTAGAGACTTCTACAAGACCGCTGAACAAAGTCTTTTGGCGACCCAGAGGGCCCCACGAATCACCAGCCAGGTGAGTGATGCCTCATCGTTATTGAGGCATTTCAACCCAGGCGCCCAAGGCCATATTGAGCGAGCCTCCTGCTTTGTAAGGCCGAGCTCGTCAATCAGCTCATCACGAACGGACCCCCTGACTAATACTCGATACAATGCCCTACGAGACAACGCCTGGACGTTGAAGAGGCCATCCGATGATCATAAGAGATGTTTCAGAGCACGACGACCTTCGGTAGAAGGAGCATTCGGCTCGGTGTACAGTGGGCCTCCTCCTCGCTCGAGTGAACACTTCTCAGGGATGGGAAGTTTCTACGGACGTATTCCTTCTATAAAGCGCCCTCCTCATCCGATTCGCGACACATTCGGTCTAGGAAAGCGATGCGAAGCATATATTGACGAATCTCAATGCTAGACCGCCTTTAGATGGACGAAGGCAACAGACCTCCCGAGACCTTTCCACAATAGAACAAGAACCTTACTAGTGGCATACGGAAATGGAAGTACAGAGAGTCTATAAAGGAGAAACGGATAGATGCATGAAACACATACTTCAGCCCTCCTATTCAAGGAAAGATTCCTCTGAGACCACAAATTAATTGCGATTTCTGCATTCCCTTGTACCTCCGACCAATTCATTTCCAACTGGATATCAGGACCGAACCAGACGCCGAGTATCTTGACCGGTCCGTCCATCCGTCCAGAGGGAAGGTCCGGGAAGAGAAACTCCCTTCCACGCACCCAACCGCAAGCCAACAGACTTAGCGGCCAAGATCAACCGCGATGTCACCATCTCATAACCACTGATCTCTTTGCTGACTTCGTCAATCTCAATTCTGCTCGGACATTTTCACTAGATAACCAGAGACATTTTTTCTTGAATTGAGCATGGACGGGGTAAGGACACCGACCGCCTCCCACATCGATCCGTGGCCCATCTCAGTCTTGATAGTGCCGTCGTGGGAGAGGCCGCCTATATAACAAGGGAAGGTCAATTTCAGTGCTCTATAGAGGGAGGGGTGAACAAAACAGGGACCGTCCCAGCACAAAACTTTCATTTTTTTTTTTATTCTGTACAACCGTAATAGGCAGGAACATTCTGAACGAGGCTATTGCCTCATCCAGCATGGCCAAAATCTGTTTAGCTCCCGTTCCATTTAAATTATTTAAATCCTTTATCCTATGGGCTTGTGCAGGGCATATTTTGCAAACATCTTCGCCAGAGTTGAATGTGCTTTTGTCTTCTTTTTTCTGATGAGTCCTGAGTAAATTTTCTCCGACTCTTGTTGTCGGGAGGGGGCATTTCCGAAGTTTTAATTGGGGAAGGACTGGAGTGTTGCGAGGCGTATATGGTTGTCTGAAGGGGATGGGATCTCTACTAAGAGGGGCTGAGGGATGGGAAAAGGATGTGGATGGAGTGGCATCTCTACTAAGTGGGTTTGAGGACTGGGAAGAATGTGATGGGTCAGAGGATGTGGAGGGAATAGTCTTTTTAATGGGGGAGGATTTTGAGATCCTTTGTTGGTCCAGTTTTTGTTATAATTTTGGGAGTTTTTCGGTTTTTTCGAAGCCAGGATCGTACTTTTTTAAGATCTAAGGTCTGTTTTGAGGCCGGGGCGTCGCCCTTACTATTGACAGAGGGAGTGGGGCTGAGAACCCGCTATCTGCCATTCCCTCTCTCCCTCCTTCACAACTGTACTTACAGCGAGAGAAGGCTCTTCGGTGAATGGGGTTTAGGTGTAGGCCCAACCGGGGGTTTAACCACTCCGGACCCAGCGGCTGGCATGCCCATTACAGACGTGGCGGATTTCAAAGACTCGGTTAGAGGGGGAGTTTGGTCAACTGGGGCCTGACTTCCAGAGGCCTTCTTCTCTGGGCCGGAAGAGGAGAGGTG